AGCCACCCTCCTGCCACGATGGTGGGGGGGGGAGGAGATGCCTTCTGGGGGTTTGCCTGCCTGGCCCTGCGTGGTCCCAGGGGAGGGGACCTGTCCTCCCCTGCTTTTTGGGAAATGGGGCATGGGGGGTGGCTCCTCTAGTGTCCCCACTCCCCTTTCACTCCCCAAAACTAGATGGGGTCCAGGACCCAAACCCCAACCCAACCCTCCAGCCCTATCCCCGCCACCCAGCAAACCCCGTTTCAGGGCAGTGCCAGGGCTGTGAGTGGGAGTTTTGGGGGTCCCTGTCCCCCCCACACCACCTCCCACCGACACCAAGTGGGGAAGTTCTGCTGTGAATCCCTAAATCCTGCTTTTTTTTCTGTTTTTTTTCTGGTAACTCTGCCCCGTCTCCTTGGAAACTGGCGGTGCTCCCCAGCCCCGGCCGCTTCCTGGCAATGCAATCACCCCAAAACTTGTCCCTGTTTTGGGGCTCCCTGGGCTTGTTCAGCCCGGGGTGGGGGCAGAGCTGCCCCCAGCGAGGGCTGGTTACTGGGGAGACACTGGGCAGTGTGGGCTGGTGCTGGCAAGGAGCAGGCAGGGTGCAGGCAGGGAGCAGGCAGCCTGTGGGCAGGGTGCAGGCAGGCGAACGGGCAGGGAAGCAGGCAGAGAAGCAGGCCAGGAGCGGGAGGGGATGGGACAAGGAGGAGCAGGCAGGGTGCAGGCAGGGTGCAGGCAGGGCAAGCAGGCAGGGGAGACGGAGCCGGCATGTGAGGCAGCTCTACTGTGCTTATTGGGGTCAAGACTTCCCCCCTGGTTTTTCTGCTTTTTCAATTTTTTGGTTTTTTTTTTTTTTTCCCCCCCTCTCTGGTGGGAAATGTCACCCTGCAGAACAGGGAGAGGATTCACTTATATGTCTATTTTTGGGAGGTGAGGTGACACCTCGAATCAAACACCCTTCTAATCAGCTCTTGGCCCCTAAATCCAGCTTTCCAACACTAAATCGATGGTACCCCCAGCTTTTCCCCAGGTTTTATTGGATCCAGAATTGCCTCCCGCAGCTTGAGTTCAGGGGAAACAAATTCAGCTGGAAGAGAGATCTAAAACACTAAAAATGAAAAATGGAGTTAAAATGCTCTTTATATAATATTTTGCACTTGCCAGCTCACCTCAGGATTTTGCCCTTTGCCCACGCGAGTGCCCATTTAAATCAAAATCAGAAACAAACAGGTAGAGAAAACGTGGGAAGCGCAAAAAGCCAGGGGAAATTCAGAGAAATTCCTGCTTTTTCTGATAAAAATGAGTGGGAGCCAGAGGAGCTCATCCCTAACAGACGGGGAAACACTCGGGAAAGAAAAGTAAAAGGTAAGATGGGAAAAGCAAAATAAGAAAAGAGGTTTTAAAAAAATAATAATAATAATCAAAAGCCCAGGAAACAAAGAGCTTTTCCAGGCAGGTGGGATGATGCACCCCAGTTCAACAAGGACTTGCTTTTTCCGAGTGTATTTTGCTTGAATAGGTTTTTTTGGGGGGGGTAAACTTTGTTGGTTTGAACCAAATCGGTGGAGAAATTAAACTTTCCGCGCTGCTGCCTGGGAGCAGCCGGCGGCGGGGACCAGGCTGAGCCATCCCCGGCAGCCCCAGCCTCCACGCTGCCTTGCGCTTCCCGAACTCTCCCCACACGTACCCTCCCGTTAAAAAAAAAAAAAAAAGAAAGAAAGAAGAAAATCACCGACCGACGAGGGCTAACGCGAAGCAACACTTCAACTCGCCTTCGTTCCGAGCCGGCTGATGTGTTTATTTTAAAGGTTGATCTCTGCTCGCGGTGGCACCGGGGACAGAAATGCCGCCGTGGGAAGGAGACGGATTGCCGGTACCTGAGGAAGGGGACAGCCCGTTTGGGATGTGGGGATGCGAAGCTGAGGGATGGCCGGAGAGGCACCGTGGCGGCGTTCGTGCTCCCCCAGTCTTGGGGACCACCGTGGGGTGACAGTGGCCGCACGCCTGCGGCCCCAGGTGACATGCAGGCAGGAGGGTGACGAGCTGCG